ATTTGAAATTGTTTGAATCTTACAAGGTTTGTCGTGGATACGGACACTAAGGCAATCATTTCCCATGCTCTCTTGCTCTTCTTGAATTTCTTTGACAGATTTCGCTGCTGAAGTTCTGCAATTAAGCAACTCTATTGACTCCAAGGTATAAATTTCCCCAATGTCTTTAGGGATTTCCTCCAGGTATATGCATCTTTTCAGAACTAAGTGTTGCAGTTTTGGAAAGTTAACACTGCCAGCTTTCCAGCGTTTCAGATTTGTCCTATCGATTAGGAGGAATTTAAGTTGATTGAAGATTTCTTCATCACTTAATCTCCATGCATCACCATCAAATCCATTGTCTTTGATTTTAAGCACTTGGAGGTTTGGCAACGTAACGATATTTGCCATGTCTTCCCATGGTAAATAAGTACATCGTAAAGTTAACCTCATCAGAGAATTAGGCAGAACATACTTACTTGGCAGTGGGTGAGGGTATAATTTTCTGGAGCATTTGATCTTCAATATTTCAAGTTCAGTTAAACAGTAGAGGCTATTGAGCGTCTGAGATATCGTATCTCTTCTGCATTCTTCCCAAGCTCCATGAAGTTTGAGCCTCTTTAGATTCGGAGTACGAGTGAACATTTCATTACTACAGCAAGAAATACTTAAATCTGAAAGTACCTCAAGATTTTGTAACTTGGAACTAGACCCTGTCGTATACGTACTTGATGGAACAGGAAATGAAGAGATCTTTTTTACCTCAAGATGCCTCAAAAGTTTCATCTTCCAAATCTCCACTGGTAAATCAGAATGTCGTCTGAAAATCAGATTCTGCAGATTGTAAAGCTCTGATACTGAGCATTGAAGATCATCATGACAGTTGAATTCAAGGTATCTGAGATGTACTAATTTTGTTATCTCAAGAGGGAAATCTTGAAATGTATAATGAAGGATTGCAAGAACTCTTAGAAGTTTGAAACGCGCCAAGAAAGGTATTTGTTTAGAAGGGCGCAGTGCATGTTTTAGTCCATTGAATAAGTACAATGTTCGGGTGAGACTAGATGTTGAATTCCAGCAATCCCCCTGAGAAATCCGAGAATGTGAACTGTAGCGATGAACATGAGGCTTACTAGCTGTATCAATGAATCTTGTAATAACATCATGAGTTCTTGTAACTTTCAAAAACTTCTCCTTCTCACCTTGTCTTAGAATCAAGTCGCGCACCAGATCATGAACCCCACATGTTATCAGCTCACCATTAAATCTCCTCTTTCTAACCAATATCAAGTTCCTACTAATAAGATCCTCTAAACATTCTTTTCCTACTTGTTCCATACTTTTGAGCCTTTCATGTCTTAGAAAACCTTCAGCAACCCATAACTGGATTAGTCTCTCGGTTGCAATCACAAAATCTTCCGGGAACACTCCTATAGAAAGGAAGCATGCTTTTAGGTGATGAGGCAAGTAACTATAACTCATAGCAAGCACTCCAAGACATTTATCTGGTTCACTAGAAACAATTTTACTAATAGTTTTGGCAACATCATCCCAACATTCTCGTGTTCTAGAAATTTTGGAGAGATGCCCTGCAACCACTAGAAGAGCTAATGGTAGTCCTTGGCACTTTTGTGCTACTTGCTTTCCAATTTTCTCTAATTCACAGGGACAAACATCATGTTGTGAACCAAACACCTTGTCATGAAGTAACTTCCAACTATTATCTGAGTTCAAGAGACTCATCTCATGAGGATTGCTATCAGGATCTGCATGCTCAGCAACCTCTTTGTGCCTACTTGTCAAGATAATGCGACTTCCGTTGTTATCATCTGGAAAAATTCTTGTCATAAGATCCCATATGCCTTTACTCCAAATATCATCCATGATAACAAGATACCTCCGATACTTCAACTTTTTGTGTATCATATCCATCAGCTGATCATCACTACTTTCTTTAATCTCATCTCCCACAGCCAACCGATAAGTCTCATTTTGGACCTCATTTTTTAGCTGGAAAATACAGGCAAGAATGCCCAGTAACAAATCTCTAGTTTGATACTCTTGAGATATTGTTATCCAAATATGGACATCAAAGCGATTCCTGACTTCAGGATGATGGTATACTTTTTTAGCCAAAGTAGTCTTACCTATCCCTCCCATGCCCAAAATTGAGACAATTTCTCGACTAGACGGTGGTCCTGTTAGTCTTCTCATGACTTTCAACAAGTCATCTTCAAGACCTACGACAACATTTTCTAGATTCAGACTTGCAACACGTCTAGATGATGAATGACCTAGCAAGTAATCCCTCGATGGCAGATCCTCATTTAATGTCACAAATCTCATCATCTTTCTCTTCACAAAATCAATCTTTTCTACAAGGGGAAGCAAGTCATCGCATAAAGGCTGGCGTGGCAATCCAACTCTTGAGCAGTGCTTCAGTAGATTATATTCATGCATCTTTAGTTCAATCACATTCTCTACGTCATTCACTGCAATTCTAATCACTCTTTCCAACTCTTCAGAATTTCCAAAGACTTGTCTTCTCATGTAAGTCTTCTCAAGAAAGTCTTGAAAATATCCGGCACTATCAAGGAGAGATTCGATCATTTTTCTAGTATCACCGATTATCCAACGTGGTTTTTGCTGCATAAGTTGCTTCAAAGTTTGAATGAGAGAAACCACATCTGCATAAGCCATTTCTCACACCAACTATAGGACAAAAAGACTGCTTCACAAACTCAAAAACTTTTTATTAGTGAAGTTTGATGTAAACACTTTTGGCAAAAACCATTTTTTTGAAGCAAACACCACCTATAACTCTCTCTTTCTGTGTTTCCTTGATCAGACACAAAGAAGTACTAATCCATCAATTAAGAGAGCTGGTATATAAGAGTTATGAACCTCAAATTCTTACCTAGATTTTCTTAGAAATCACAATTAAACGCTTCTTCAGATCAACCCCAATGACAGCCTGCAGACGAATCCAAATTGACCCTGCTGTTTTTTTCTCTTTTAAAAGAGTGTTAGAAAGCATAAATATAATCAAAGAAGATGAAAGATTGAATATAATTAAGGTAGCAAAACTTCAGTTCTTGAAACTTGTAAAACAAGTCCTTTTTCCTTAAAATACAAAGAAAATTATTTCATATACATAACATGGATAAAAAGGAGATTTTTCTTGGAGAAAAAGATACATTTCTGATTTCACAGTCAAAAATAGTCATCTTCCTCTTCATAGAAGTTACAGGACAAAAGTCACATTACAGTCCAAACAAGTAGTCTTTTTTTATTAAACAAGTTTTAAGTAGTTGTCTGGTCCCTTTAGCTTCTTGTTCACATGTAGTTTATCATAAATAAACAAACAGCCATCTTTTTCTCTAAACTAATCACATTTTTTTTCTCTTCTATCCAAAACATACACAATGGGGCAACTAGGAATGCTAAAATTTCATTTTCAATTTAAAATTGATCACAATCTGAAAAACATAGAGAAATATGACCGATATTTATTACTCCTTAGCTGGTGTATTTTGGTGTTATCTACAGGACATGTCCAATATTTTAACCTTTTAACTCTTTAATGACAGCAAGGTGAGCAGGAACTAACTGTGTTACCCCAGAAAATGTCCAACTTTTGAGAGGTATATATATATCAGGAATATGTTCAAATGACTTCGATAAAAATAAGTGATGCACTCTCGATAAGAAGATTTACTACACTTTAGATAACTGCAAGGGACTTGAACTAGTTTGTAAACAAGAACTTTGATTATGCATAGAAATTGACTATTAATTTGAAACTGAGTTTCTACTGTAAATAGAAACCATACCTGATGGTTGGTTCAGCTTTGATCAAATCTAGCTTTGGCCAATGAGCCCGCAACCTGATTGCTTTCTCTGTAGCAGTATACCATTTTCCTTCTCCTTCCATGGCACTATCCAGATTGTACTTATATACCGTAGTATTTCCCACAAGTTTAGGATGTGTTTCATTCTGAATTCATCAGAGAGTTATATGACACGAGACTCGGTGGGAAAGGGAAATGGAAATATTGAAAACTGCAGAGTGAAGTACAGAGGCAATCAATATGCACTTGGTAATTGAGAATTATAACACAACGAACATGTTAATAAACCGTCCAGTCAATCATATCTAGCTTGCTAGAAAGTTACAAAAACAAAGAACAACAACTAGCAACATAACACAGGTAAAAGTTAGGTCCTTTAGTTATTGTAAAAAAAAAAAAAAACAGAAAGAGACTAAAGTTTCTAACAAGTTACAAGTGACCTCTCCCCTTCTAAGCTAACAAACGGTGATATATTGCTTCCCATGCACACCGCATTCCTTTAACTTGCATGATCAGCTCCTCTGCTGCAATGAGAAGCATATCAATGAGTACTTAAAATGTGAAAACATCCCGAGGCAATGTAAGAGAAGAAACAAGGAGCATAATTAGTGAGCAATAAATTTAAGACAATTTGAGTCTTACCTACAATCATCGATGAGGACACTAAGGCAATCATTCCCCATGCTCTCTTGCTCTTCTTGAATTTCATTCACGGAATTTGCTGCAGTTCTTCTGCAATGATACAACTCTATTGACTCCAAGGTATAAATTTCTCCAAAGTCTTTAGGGATTTCCTCCAGATATATGCATGTTCTCAGAACTACGTGTTGCAGCATTGGGAAGTTAACACTGCCAGCTCTCCACTGCTTCATATCATTCGTCCTGATTAGGAGGAACTTAAGTTCATTGAAAATATCTCCCTCATTTAATCTCCATACATCACCATAAAATCCGTAGTTTTTGATTTTAAGTACTTCAAGTTTTGGCAACTTCACAATATTTGCCATGTCTTCCCAAGGTAAGTAAGTATAGCTTAAAGTCAAGCTCCTCAGAGATGTAGGTAAAGTATACTTACATGGGATTGGGAACAAGTATAGGTCTTTGCATCTGATCTTCAATTGTTCGAGTCTTTTTAAACAGGCAAGGCTATTTAGGTGCTCAAACATCTTCTCACCCTGGCATTCCTTTTGACTTCCATGAAGTTTAAGCGTCTTAAGATTTGGAATAGCAGAAAACAATTCAAAAGTACAGCTAGACAATCTTAGACAGGAAAGTCCTTCCAAATTTTGTAGCTTATTTGATGGATTTTTAGGGAGAGAAATTGAGTGACTCACCTTAAGATCCCTTAAATGTTTCATTTGCCAAATTGTCTCATGTATAGTTGGAGGATTATAACCTAGGCTTCCAACAATGAAGACCTGGAGATTATAAAGCTCAGACAACGACCCGTGAGGATCATCACAACTGCGTAATTGAAGGTATCTAAGATGTACTAATTTTGTTATCACAAGAGGGAAATCTTCAAACCCATACTGAACGACTGACAACACTCTTAACAATTTGAAGCAAGCCAAAAGAGGGACTTGTTTAGAACCTAATCCACGGAAGAAATGCATAGTGCGGGTGAGATCAATTGATGATGACTCCAACAAATCATTCTGATAAATGTTTGAATGGAAACTGTAACGACAAACATGATGCATCTTTGCTGAAGGATCTTTAGTAACCTGCAGGAACTTCTCTTTCTCAGCTTCTCGTAAAATTAAGTCACGAACAAGATCATGGACACCACATGATTTCCACTCCCCATTAAATCTCCTGTTTCTAACCATTATCAGATTCCTACTAACAAGATCTTCCAAAAAATCTCTTCCCACTAATTCTTCCCATAGAAAACCCTCACAAACCCATAAGTTGATCAATTTCTCTATGTTAACATCACTATCTTCCGGAAAGACTCCCATATAGAGGAAACATGGTTTAAGATGATTAGGTAAGTAATGGTAACTCATAGCAAGCACTCCTAAACATTTATCTGATTCATTAGCAACAACTTTACTTACACTTTTGGCAACATCTTTCCAACTTTCTTGTGTTCTTTCAATTTTAGAAAGATGCCCCGCGACCACTAGAAGAGCTAAAGGTAGTCCTTGGCATTTTTGTGCTACTTGCTTCCCAATATCCTCTAGTTCAGGAGGACAAACATGTACTACCCCGAACACCGTTTCATGAAGTAACTTCCAACTGTCATCTGCATTCAAGAGGCTAACCTCATGAGGTGGGGTGTCAGGGTCAGCATGCGTTGCCACACCTTTGAGCCTACTTGTCAAAATGATTCGACTCCCATTGTCATCGTCAGGAAAAGTTCTTGACATAAGATCCCAGACCTCATTACTCCAAATATCATCCATGACAACAAGATACCTTCGACCCTTTAACTTTTTGTATATCATATCCATCAATTCATTATCAGTCCCTTGTTTGATCTCATTAAAAATACAAGAAACAACACCTAACAACAAATATCTAGTTTGGTATTCTTGAGATATAGTCACCCAAACATGTATGTCAAAGTGATTCCTGATTTGAGGATCATCATATGCCATTTTTGCAAGAGTTGTTTTGCCTATACCACCCATTCCCAAAATGGGGATAATCTCTCGAGTAGACATCGACCCTTTTAGTCGTCTAATGATTCTCATGAGGTCATCTTCGAGACCAACGACAACACTTTCTGGATTAAGTTTTGCAACATATCCTGTTTGCAGATCCTCATTTGTAGGATTACTATAACCTTGAACCTCATTTGTACCAAAACTACTTCCCATCACATTCCTCTTCATATCATCAATCTTTTCTACTAGCAGTAACAGAGTTTCACATAATGCCTCTCTTGCATTTCCTTTTTCCAGTTTGTTAATTTCATATATCTCTAGTTCTATCGCGTCCTCTGCTTCATTAACTGCACTTTTCATCTCTCGTTCCAACTCTTCAACCTTTACACAATCTTTCCTTCTCTTGCTAGTGTTCTCAACAAAGTCTTGGAAATATTCAAGACTTTCAAGGACAGAATCAACCATTTTCCTTGTTTCATCACTTATCCAATGTGGCTTTAGCTGCACAAGTTGCTTCAAAGTTAGTATAAGAGAAATCACAGCATCATAAGCCATCAAGATTTAGCAAATTGAATAAATGCAATCAAAATAAAGAAGAAAAGAAGCTGAAATGTGAACTATGGATTCAAGGTAGCTAAAATTTATTGTTCTTGAAACATGAAAAAGAAGCCACATGACCATTCAGACATGTTTGTCTTTTAGTAGTATTAAACAAGTTCAAGTGGTAGTGTGCTAGTCCAATAACATTTTTGCACATTAAATAAATGCAATCTATGGCCTTGAGAGCACCACTTTGAGTACTCTCAATTTTAAGAAAATGGTCTAGTTTAACTTAACAGGAAATTTAAGAAAATAAAAAAGACTTTTTAATCTTGTAATCCTTATTTAAATTTATGTCAAACGTATTAAAATGTTCTTTAATATTATAGGTTTAAACATGTCACGTGAAAAACTGAAATTAAAATATTGAGGAAAGGAGTTATTCTTTTTTAAACAAACTAAAAAGGAAAATCGGTCATTCTTTTAGAAACGAAAGAAAGTAGTAAATTGGGAGGAGGGAAAGATGCAAGTTTGAAAATGATGACCAAAGTCACTTTCATTTTTTTTATAACAATAAATTCATTCAGTAATTACAAGGAAGTCTCTTATAAATCATCCAAGACTTTTAAGGCACTAAACTCACTTTATTTGCTTATTTAAACCTAAGTAGCTATTACAACAGACTTCAAGATACCAAATTTAACCAGGCTATTACAAAGCACAAGCACTAATTATTATTCTTTACTACTATTATGTCCTCCTTTATCTTCCATGTAACTTGTCATGACCCAAGAGGGTGGATTATACAAAACTACTACTAGTTGATATGGGCTCATCAGGGTTTATAAGTCAAATCGTCAAGTCAAATCCAACCGATAACGAATTAATATGAATTAGATCAAATTGAAAAAAATCCAATTTGTGATTTGATTAGATTAATTCGGCGTTGAAAATAAAACCTGACTATTTTTGGATTAATTTGTATGTTGTTTTGTATTTAGAATGGAAGTTACAATTACATTGTTATAGATTTCATATCAAAAGTTAACAATCTACTTCGTATATAGTTTGTTTTGTATTCAATTTGATTGTAGCCTTTAATCAGACAAATTTAACATATTACACATTGATATCTCAATATAAGTATTTTGTACTCATGTGCTATATTCTTTTTGAAGATTCTTATTCATACAATGTTTTTAAGTTAAGTTTTAGCCTATCACATAGATAAGTGAAAAATATATTGGATCTATTTTTCAATCATGTATAATTGTAAGAAAATCGAAAGAACCGACTAAAACAAAACCTAAAAAATTGACTGTCCTGTTGGTTTGATTTAGATAATAAATTTAATAAACCGACATAATTAATTTAGTTTACTTTTTAATAATAACTCAAATCAAAACAAATTTCTATTCCAGAATTTTGCCTCTGCTGATATGATAGAGTTAAGAAAAGTTTTTTAAAAAAATTATAACAAGAAAAACTATAAAATAGAGAAAATCGCGTAACTAAAATCTTTACAGGTAAAGCCAATAACCATAATATTGAATATGAAAGAGAAAAGAGAATATTCATTCCCAATTGACGTACTACAAAGATTAAAAGGAGCTAATAACTTTGATGGTCGCTCAACTATCCGTTTTTTTTATATAAAGTCACTCAATTTTCATTTTCAACTCAGAAGTCATTTAACTATTACTTTTTTGCACAGAAAGTCACTCAACTTATTTAATTGTTTTTTTCATTAAAATTTGTTAGAGCCGTCAATATGGGCTAGGCCTGTTGGGCCGGCCTGGCCTAACCCAGGATTTAATAGGGCTGGGCTAAAAATTTTGGAGCCCATTTTTTAAAAAAGGCTTATTAGCCCGGCCTGAATAAGCCTGCTGATTTGTGGGGCTTGAGAAATATAGGTAGGGCCGGCCCATGGGGCCAATAAAAAATTAATTAAAAAATATAATATAATATTAAAATTTAAAATTAAAGAGATCCAAACTCAAAAATCTATTTAAAGTTTTTTAGGAAATCACTAAGTATAGAAGCTGCATCCACCATGAAAATGTCCAAACACTTGTTGCTACTCGAAACTGGTTACATGGTTTTTCTCAAACTGATAATATATTTTTGTGTACATTTAAATATTATAATTCTCAATTTAGTTATTTTTTAATATTTAACTAATTGAAATCGCATATAAATTACATATGAAAATGAAGATGTTAAGACAACCTTCCCACAAGTTGATTCAGATATGCTTGATAAAGATGATCATAGCTATTTATGTTTTTACTTGAAATCAAACTTAATAAATATTATAAAGATAATTTTATTTGTGGATTTGATTAACAAGTAGTAACATTAACACCATGTAATATTGTTTTGTCGATATTTATGATAATATTTTTAAATTATAATTTTTAATTTAATTTAATAATTATAAAAAAATATATAACTTTTAAAAAAGTAGGCTGGCCCGGCAAGCCTGTAGCCCACGTACTTGTGGGTTGGGCCGACTGTTTTTTGGCCCACACCAAAAATGGGCTAGCCTGGCCTGACCCGTAAAATGTCAAAGCCTGTATGGGTTAGCCCGGATGGGGTGGGCTAGTCCATATTGACAGCTCTAAAATTTGTTGACATGGAATTTTAATTATTAATCAAAATTTTAAGAACCAAATATATATCCATTTAAATCATATAATGACCCGCCCCATTTAACCCGACTCGCTATAAATATAATATCAAACTTTTTATTTTACCATTAATTTCCTAAATCATTTTCCCTTGTCTCTCCCATTCTTTCCCTCTACATTCTTCTTCTCTTTTCTTTTCTTTTCTAATTTCTCAATTTCAACTTCTTCTTCACATATCAATAATATATCAAGATTGTGAAGTTGGGAAGACAATTATTTGATGCATAGGGAGAACATAGAGATTGTGATATTAATTGAACAAATAGACACAAACGTCCTACGTGGCATCCTACATGGAAATTTGTGTCCTATGTGGTGTCCTATGTGTATTGTGACACGTAGGACTCGTGTGTCTATTTGTTCAACTTTATACAAGTTTAAGTGCTTATTTGTGCACACTCAAAGTTGGAGGACATAAATGTAAAATGAGGTTAAGTTAAAGGGTATATTTACGTATTATGCCAAAAATATATTTGATCTATTTTTCAGTAAGAAAATCGAAAGAACCGACTAAAAGCGAAACCTAAAAAATTGACTGCCCTGTTGGTCTGATTTAGTTAATAAATTTAATAAACCGACATAATTAATTTAGTTTTACTTTTTAATAATAACTCAAATCAAACCAAATTTCTATTCCAGAATTTTGCCTCTGCTGGTATGATAGAGTAAAGAAATTTTTATTTTTATTTTAAATAAAAATTATAACAAGAAAAATTATAAAATAGAAAAAATCGCGTAGCTAAAATCTTTACAGTAAAGCCAAAAACCAATTTATTGAATAATGGAAGTATTTTAAATAACTATGTCGTATGTCGATCAGTAATTAAAATTCAAAATCTTATGTCGATGAAAGAGAAAAGAGAATATTCATTGCCAATTGACTTACTACAAAAATTAAAATCATAAAATAATAATTATAAATTTAAATAATAAAATTATTCCAAGCAACAAATTAAAATTTAAAAATATAACTAAAAACTTTCGATCGTTAACTTCTAATTATAAATATAAGTAATTGTTAAAACCAAAATTATTTTTATTATTTAATTCATGTTTAGTTATAAGTTGTATGCGTATAGAAATAGAAATAAGAATAGGAATAGACGGTCCAACTTCAAGTTAAAATAGGATTTGCACTATTATAAATAAAGGTTCTTTCTACTTATTTTTCTTATTTTCCTTCTCACGTAAGTCCATGACTAAATATATTTTCCAAACCTCTTATCTAAGTGTGATTTTTTCCATACTTTTTCTTCAATCCTTACTTATATTTGCAAGCAATAATAATAATAACAGAGAAATTTACATTGTACATCTTAAGTCGCCACCTAATGACTCGAATTTTAAAAATTTGAATAAATGGCATCATTCATTTTTGAACCTAAACGAATCGTCACAAATTATTTATTCTTATCGCAATGTGTTAAATGGCTTCGCTGCTAGGCTTACTATGCTAGAAGTTGCAGCTTTGAAAAATAGCCAAGGGATCTTATCAGTCCGACCACGAAAAAATTTTCATCCACAAACTACTCATACTACAATTTTTTTGGGGCTACAACAGAGTAATGGATCATCAGGTAGCTTATGGGAAAACTCAAATTATGGTAAAGGTATGATAATTGGAGTTGTAGATACCGGAATTATGCCTGATCATCCATCTTTTCACGACGAAGGAATGCCCCCTCCCTCTGCTAGGTGGAAGGGGAAGTGTGAATTCTACTCTCGGTCGTCTTGTAATAACAAACTTATTGGAGCAAGATATTTTCATGAATCGGGTAATGGGACACCTCTCGATGAAAATGGTCATGGTACACATACTTCAAGCATTGCTGCTGGAAATTTCGTCAATGGGGTGAATGTTTTAGGTATGGCTAATGGTACAGCGTCTGGTATGGCACCGTTGGCACACGTTGCTATGTATAAAGTCTGTTCCAGTATTGGATGTCCTGAGACTGATGTATTGGCTGCTATAGATGCTGCAATCGAAGATGGGGCTGATGTACTATAGATTTCCATTAGCTCAAAGTTTAATCAATTTTGGTCAGGTGTTATTGCAGAAGGTGGATTTACTGCTATGCGAAAGGGGATTCTTGTTAGCTGTTCAGCTGGCAATACAGGTCCATTACCAGGCACTGTAAATAATCGAGATCCATGGCTTTTCACCGTTGGTGCAAGTACTACTGATAGAAAACTAAGAGCCACAGTACGTCTTGGTGATGGAAAAGAAATTTATGGGGAATCAGGATTCCAGCCCAAAGACTTCTCCGAGACAATGTTACCCCTGATTAGAAATGTCAGTGATGCATTTTGCAGCGCGGAGTCATT